TGTTACAATAAGCGATTAATTTCTGCTTCATATTAAAAAACAAAAGAATAGCTTAATCTTCAAATTGACCCTGAGGGCTTACATAAAGCATACATTCCTATTGTAAACAAAATCTAACTTTGCGTTGCCAAGATCACGCTGGTTTAAGTATTTTTCTGTTAATCAGTGTCAGCTACAACAGTTATACATTTTTAATTTTATTTCTGGACTGATTTTACATATTCATATTTTATTTAACGATTATTTACTGAAGAATACAATTTTACAATTTATAATTCTGTGGATTTTACATTATGACTATAAGATTATATATTATTTATTACTACACTGACTAATTACTACACTGACTGAGAAAGTTGATGAGTATCATATCATCGAATTATATTTTTTGACATATTGGTGAGTGTTCTATCAAGGTGATATTTGCCTACTTTTTATTTGATGTTAATTAATGAAATTTATAATTTTATTAGAACGTCATGAAATTCTGTTCAATCGGCCTTTCAATCTTTTGGCGAGCAATTTCGATTCTTCTGTTTAACGTTCAATTATTCATACGACATGTGATTATGATTTTTTTTCACAATCTATACTATTAAATCATGACAACATCTTTATATTAAGTAAATATCTGAAGAAGATCTAATTCAAAGACCGAAATGTAATAGCATATTTCAATGATAATTGTTTAGAATACATATGTAATATTTCGTTTTTTAATATAGAGGAAAACCCTTTATTTTGAGATAGATGCCTAATATGAGATAGCGACGTTTCTAAAGCTAAATTAATAAACGCTATTGATTCCATCATAAATTTATTGCTCTTGGACTGAAAAACTATTTAATAGAAAATTCATTATTAAATCATGCCTGTAGTCAGGTATAAAAAAAGATTTTAGAATTTGGATGTCTTCAAATTTCATTGAGATGAACCTTTAAATATTGTTTATTATTTAATAAACAAGATTTGGCAATAAATATTGACAATTCTTCATATAATGATAGAGTAGGTTGTACTAATAGAAAAATACGGGATATGTTAAATTATAGAAGTTAGATTTGATAATCGTAAAACCGTAAAGCGTGGAAATCGTAGAAGAGATATCCAGGGTATTTCTAATATAAAATAACCCATGCTCCTATGTTATAGTGAAAATCGTTGCTAAAGAGTAAATGTTATTGTATTGTACAATAATAAAAAGGAATGAATATCGAGTGTCTATTTTTGCGATGCTTGATTCCAATTATTTGAAGACGAGTTCTGGATATAATCTACCGCATGTTCATGGTGTGTTGCATTTTAGAAACATGAAGTAAAGTTTTTTAATTGCAATACTGATATAGTTTGCGTTTTATTATCGATTTCTCGGGGCATCTCATTTATTTTAGGAGCGCAATTTTTTGGCTTTGTGATTTGCTCACTTTTTACATTTCTTTAATTTAAAAAAAAATGGAATTTGAATTAAATTTTATATAATGTTATTTTAAAGCTTATTAAATTCCCTTCAAAATGACCTATTATTTTTTTAAATTTTTTTTAATTCATAATTCATAAACTTCTAGCATTTATCCAAAATGAACTCGGTATCTCATAAAAGGAGCCTTTTCTCTATAATTTAATTTGTTATTGACTCTTATA